GCGGTTGACCCAGGACCGAACACTGGTTTGTTCTGTTTTGCATAAGGTCGCTATGAGTTGGTACCGACGCAATGTCACCTAACAACAACAACCAGAAGGATCGGCTGGTAAGCCATAACACCCCTCTTGCAGTTTAAATCACATTCGCCATCCATCTTATTAGCACAGTGTCGCCCAGGCCTAGACCTATGATGACTGGTCCATGTTGTTTGGTTGTACGTTTTCTGCACACAGTGAACGTGGGTTTTGACTGCCATCAAGTTTAAATGAGCCACTATAATCAGTATTTTGGCAGATAGGATGAAGGCACTGACAATCTTGTGATCTGATATAGTGTAATCCACACACATAATAACAAACGAGTATAATCTAATGACTTCCAAGATGAGATCTGAAATGATCAACCAATCAGTGAAATTCCATTTCCAAGGGTGTGGTCTGTGTTGTTGTTGTTGTTGTTAGGTGCCATTGAGTCTGTACCGATCCATAATGACCTTAAGTACAGCTGAACGAAACACTGACCGATCCTGAGCCAACCTCACTATTGTTACCACGCTTGAGTCCATCGATGCTGCCACATGGCCAATCCATCTCATTGGGGGTCTTCCTCTTTTCCTCTGACCTTCCACCTTACCAAACATGATATTTCATTCTCCAGCAACTAGTCCCTGCTGACAATATGTCCAAAGTATGAGAGACGATGGATGGTCATCTTGGCCTCTAAGGAGCACTCTGGCTACACTTCTTCCAAACGGATCTATTGATGCATTTGGCAGCCCATGGCACTTTCATTATTGTCCTCCAGCACTCAACTCAAAGGCATCAATTCTTCTATGGTCTTCTTTAATCACTATCCAGCTTTCACATGCATATGAAGTTATTGAAAATACCATGGCTTGGGTCAGGCACACCTTACTCCTCAAGCTGACATCTTTGCTCTTCAACACTTTCAAAAGGTCTTGTGCAGCAGATTTGCTTAATGCAATACGTCCTTTGATCTCTTGACTGCTGCTTCCATGAGTATTGATAGTTGATCCAAGAAGAATGAAATCCTTGACAACTT